CCCGGAAGCCCTTGGTGAGCCAGGGGGGCTTACGGACACTCCTGCCCCCCTTGCTTCTTGTCGGGATGGACACCCCTTGGGCCGTGAGTATCGTTTCCTTAAGGATACACTGAGTTCCTCTGCCCTCAAGGACCCCAGTGCCCCTCCCACTAATCTCCTCATCTCAACGAAGTTCTTATATATCTGGTGTGACAGAATCAAAGCTTGTGTCCAATTAGGGAATGCCATGCTCAAGCCTCTCTTACTCAGTCCGCCTGGAGGATCTTCTGCTTCCTCTGGCCAATGAGGCCAGAGGGTTTTACATATTTTGCCCAGCTTGTCATCTGCTGAGCACGTGGCCAGGACAACAGAGGCCATCTTGCCCGCACACACACACACAAATGGGTTGGGTATGGTAAAGTATGGGCGTTACACTTGTAGCACCATTGGGCAACATTTTGTACAAGAATTTGTTTTGATAGTTTCCTTTTAACAATGCTCTTCTGTTTTCAGGCCTTGTGAATTTATCTTCTTTACAACCAATTATTGGTGCTTCATGTATTTTATGCAATGTACCTTGAAGCTCTCAGGCCCTGAGCTACTGTGTCTGGAGAGTACGTGCAACTGAAACATGAAATTAGGTTACAAATAGCTCATCTATTGGCCAATTCAGATGTCAGCAAAATGTTTAAGTCAGAGCTCTGGACTCGTTAAGGTGTTTTGTCATTTCAAGTGCTGTCTATGACATGGACCTCTTGAAATTTGGCATTGCTGTGGCTGTCAGTGAGCCAGAGACTGGATCTTTGAGTTTCCTTCCAGCCTCTGAATTGACTGTGGAGGATTGAATCAGGGAACCCAAACTGATAAATAGCTTTCAAATACCACAGTTATGGGTGAATTGTAGGAACCAGAATACTTAAGGCAAAAAATGAGCAGGGGTATTCTTTTAAAATGATGATGATGTCCAGTCTGCAGGTGTTAATTACCATTGTAGTGAAAGCTGCCTCCTCCAATTTCAAAGCCATGCCTGGGGAATAAGAAGATTCACTATAGCTATGTGTAGTATATAGATGATAAGAGTAGAATTACATCACAGCACACGTGCTATGCATATGAATCTGTTGTATGTAAAATTTGTTCTTCAGTTGCTAACATTTGGCTTAACTTTGTGTGGAAGTAGTGGGGTGGGGGAGACAGAGAGCTCCAGCAGCAGCAGCAGGAGGAATGGGGAGGAGTGTGGCTGAGACTGAAATTAGGTCATTGTATTTTTAGGATTCTGTCACACAGCTCCTTCTCTTCTCATTAGGTACTTTCACTTCTCCAGCCCCACTCTGCCATGCACAAAACCTGCTCGTGGATAAGAACAAAATGGCAGCTACATAATTCTAGATAGAATAACTGATTTCAGCCCCTTTCATAAGAATATAGTAAATGCCATGCTGCATTAGACCAATGCTCCATATACCACAGTCTCCTGTTTCTAACAATGGCACGATTGAATGCCACAGAGAGAGAATTGAACCAGATATATCTAGAGTGATCTACCCTTATCCCCTCCCTGGCAGCCACCGTTTATTGGTGTAGAGATATCAGAGGAAATATCTCCAACTGTTCTCTTCAATAGCTATTAACAGAATTATCCAGTCATTATTATTATCCAGAATTATTCAGTCCTTTTTTGAACTTTGCTTTTCCATCTGCCTCTACCACCTCCTCTGGCAATGAATTCTGCAAGTTAACTATGCATTTATTAATCAATACTTTCTCCTGTTAGTTTTAAACCTACCTCCTACTACTTTCAGCAGGTGCACCTAGGTCTAGTATTCGGGAACTCGGTGAACAACAGTTCCCTGGTCACTTGGTCCAAACCCTTAATGAGGTTACAGACCTCTATCATCTATCATAGCAATACCTCACAGAGCCCCTGTTTGGTAGAGGAAGTGTCGAGGTACCTGCTACCAGGTGGGGTTGGATACCCTTTATATGGAAGAAATAGAGATCAAGGATGCATAGAGTCCCTGACGTGGAGAAGGGGAAGACTTTGTGGTGTGCACACCACTGCTGATGGGATGAAAATGGGGAGGGAGGCTGATAAAAGAAGGGTGTAAAACATAGCACAGAGCAAGCATCTCTAGACAGCTGCAAGCACCATAGGACTGGGAGGGACCCCCCCCTAAGTAGTTAAGCCCAGTCTCCTTTGTGCAGACAATCATTTCCCCATTGAGTCCCCAAAATATTCACTTCAAACCCTCTCTAATTCTCTTTCATTCAAAGGCTCTAGTTCCTTAAACACAGAGCCTCTCTTAATCTGATCCAGTTTGAGTTCATCTCTTTCAACGATGAATGACTGTCTGGCACCTGGTATTCTAACCTGGGACTTACCAGTGCCTCATACAGTGGTATCAATGCTTTCTTTTCTGTACTGAATAAATCCCACCTCAGACACCCTAAGATTGGGTTAACCTTGTTCACAATTGTTGCACAGATGGCTTATGGTTATCTTACAATGGTCCAAAACACCCAGTTCCTTCTTTTCTTCAAATATCTCCAGACTATGCACCTCCCCCGTATAGGTGAAGTTCTTGTTGGGCCCCAGGTGCATGGCTTTGGAACATTTCTTCATTCCACTTCTAATGCCTCATTCCACAAGATTATTTTAATCTTCCTGTATAATCTTTTGGTCTGCTTCTGCATTAGCAATATCCCTACCTTAGTGTCATCTGCAAGTTCTGTGAGGACAAGTCCAGCTTCAGCACCACGGTCACTGATGCAAATGTTACACAGGACAAGCTCTAGGACTGATCTCTGAGGAACCCCATTGTTAACCACTCTCCAGTCACCTTTCAATATAACCTGAGACACAGTATCAACATTTTGTTTCAGTCCGGATACATTAAACCTACTGCATTGCCCTTACCCAAGAAGTCTGTTATCTGCTCATGGAAAGTCGGACATTATCATCTAATAAAACTATGTTGTGCCTGAACCTATTTTCCAGTCATTACCTCATTCAGTTAAAAACAAATCTTCTTGGGAAAAGTAAGACAAGGCATCTCCACTAGGATTTTCCAGTCTTTCCATCAGACAGGGTAAAGTAGATGTCTTGCTCTGCTCTTTACCCACTATTAGATCAGAAGGGACATTCACAAGTCTTATAGATCCTTCAGTGTTCAGAGGAGTAAGGCCCAGAGAGAGTACAGAAGTCCTTTATTATCTTTCTATGTTGATCATTTCAGAGCTAGTGGGGGCATGGTGTGTGTCATCCACCCACTCTCCTGTCTGCTCTGTGCATAGATCCAGGAGTGAAAGCTGTTAGGAATGAATACTGTGTACTGCTCCTTCAGGGCTACTCCCCTCCTCTCTCCCCACAAAACCTATAACAATAACCACAAACTATTTCTCCCTTTTGGTATCTCCAGGTATCAAGGGAACAAGATATCATATGTAATCCACTGATGTAATTAAACTGTATAGAATATGAGCCTTTTTAACGTCAACATGCCCACTGGCCACATCCCATGATATCTCTCTTCCACTGTTCCATAAGGTGGCTGTTCCTAGGCTCTCAATTCAAGTCCTATTATGTATACATCTACCCTTGTCATAACACTACCTCTGAAACACTCACACCGCTTGGTCCCAATGCATAATATTAAGAGGGTGGAATTTAAAATGAAAAAGACTGTTTAAGTAATGTCAACAGCCTGACTAATTTCACAAAAGGAAGGAAATTCAAAGTTAAGGCAATGGGTATGTTCTTATCTAGATGCCTGAGGATTTTTGTGCATGACAATATGCCCCTAAAATTCAGAGCTGTCCCTTATGTCTTTAATTTCTCCCATTGTCTCTCTCCTTTTTTTTTTATTAAACATCAAAGTGAATTCACAACAGAGAGTCAGCCTAGAATTTAATCCTCTAAATACCTTGAAAATAGAGGTTTAGAATAGAAGTACCAATATACACCCTCAAAACTTCAGTGTAATATAAAAGAGATTCTAATCACAACAGATCATTACAAAGAAGAGTAAACCACTCTAAAAAATTAAGTGTCTTAAATATAATAAAAAGGAATAATTAAGAATCAAACAGGAAGCTGCCATCCTGACAATTTAATGATGCTCAGTGGGACTGAAAGAACTGGCTTTGCCATTAAGAAACAGTGGAAATCTGACAATTTCAAGATGGCAGTGAGATAAGATCTGGGCATGTTTTTAAAGATCAAGTGTAACTGAACCATCAACTACTTCTTTCTTTTCTTTTTTTTTTTAATACGTGGTAAAACTTGCCTTGAAAGAACCTTACAATATTTCAGATTCCTATTGCTTTCTAGTGCTTGTTCTTTCACTCTTCCCTTACCTCCTCAGATTATTCTCGTCTTGGGAAAGTGTTACAATGCAACCCCTATAGGGAGAAATATGACAGACTGATTTCTTGACTGGAAATTTTATTAAACAATGGCTGGTATTTGTTTAATTCTTTTTTAATTTGAGCTTTTAAAAATCAGTGTTGACATAACAATATCTGAGGTATTCTATCCAATTACATGAGGGGTATTTCATTAATTGTAGCCCTGTAATAAATTAACTTAGACTAGATCTGTGTTGTTTTCATATAAACTTTCAGGTATTCAGGAGTGCATCCTGCTAATGAATGTGACTGTTTTTTTAAACAGGATAGGTATACCAATTTCACAATTGTGAAATTTGTGCACCTAATTTATACAAGTATGCCCTGATTGTGCATTGAGACTAGATAATTACACATGAAAATAACTAATTATGAAAAATTGTGCACACAAAGAACTGTGTTGTGTGTACAGCCAGGGCACCTGAATGCCTTGTATGCATTATACAAGTGCATGTATTCAGATGCACAACTGCAAGCATTCTTGGAATGCACCACTGTATATTCAACTTGTTTTTAAAAAAAATCAGAGACAGTGCACTCTGCCTAATGAATCTGAGGACACGGACTTAATAAACTCTCAGAATACTCTACATTTGTATGGAGAAAGATGTTAATCTGTTTTCATAGCAAATTTTTATTACTATTTTCAGAAACAAACAGCAGAAGGATAATATGTTGATCTGGAACAGAAAATCATTCTTACAGTCACCAAATGCATATTCTATGCATCAACAACGGGTAGACAACAGACAGGTGCGGAACCTTTATATCGCGGTATTCTGAGTCATTTTAATTGCTTATTACTAGAGTTTTCTAACTCAGTTGTTTGGATCATTACCTTCTGCCTGCATAAAATTCTGCCTGAAATCATATAGTCTTCACCTCCTGTTTTAAAGCACTGTGTAAGAATGCTTTGTTTATGTTGCTACAGAGTTACCCTCCTCATCTGGCTGCACTTTTACTGTGAACGAAGAAATGGTGTGGGTTTATCTGCAGTGTATTTTGTTTGCAAAACACTATGATGTTTATGATGCTGAAAACCTTGATTGTTTTCATTATATTATTAGCTTACTTTTTCCAGACATCCTAGGTAAGTGTATGCAGAAAAATTCATTCAGAAATGATAGGCCAGATCGTCAGCTGGGGTAAAGTGGAGTAAATCCATTGATTTAGAAGGGTTTACACTGATTGCACCAGCTGGGCATTTGGCACAGAATAATCCAGTAAACCACAGGCATGTGACTTGTCACCCACGTAACTGTGTGTCAGAACAAATAACAAATGCTGAAGGCTCATTTTAGTACATAGTTTATCTTTATCTGCAACATTACTATTTGAGTCACAAATCATGAAGTCGGTTTTCAACTACCTGTATTCTGCTGCCATCCTGTGGCTTACAGAAATCATTGCATTATGATTGTAGATCTTTGTGACAGAACATTAATAAAATCTGTGAAGGTGACACACCATTAAGGTAGGGTCACTTTTGTGGTGGAAAAGGGGCTGGTGTTTGATATTAGGAACATTGTAACCTGACATCCCACAAACAGTAGCATTTTTCTGCATTTTAAACGATTACCAGTCTTGATTGGATTTCTGCTTGATAAACCGCAGACACACATAGTACAGCAGCATGAAACCAGTACTGAGACCAGCAAGGATGAGGTAGCTTGTGTAGAGAGGATGAGAATCCAGATCCAGAGCCTGGATTACCTATAACCATAAACATCATAAAATAGTAGTTAAAAGCATCTTTGGAATGGATCTATGGCACATTTCCTCCTTGTGATACTTTCCTCATTCCTCATAGCTTAGGTATAGCTTTCAGACAGGGATGTCATACCTTGCACCCGTGAGATGGATTTGGCCCAGTGGGCTACCCACTGGTGAGCCACTGGAAGCTGGACGCAATGTGGACAGGGGCCTGCTGCAGAAGCCAGGCCCCTGTGGGCATGGCAATCGGTGACAGGAGACTGACAGCAGGCTGATCTGGCCCTGATCTGCCTCCATCATCACTGCTGCAATCCAAACTCCTTGGCTACTGGCCCTGGAGCCACCACTGCCACCACATGTCCTGTGCTGGAGCCAGAACTGGCACAGCCGCTGCCACCACTGTCTCAGCTAGATCTGGTGCATAGGGAGCCCCTTGGTCCAGATCTTGTCTGGGGTGCAGTGTGAGTTTGACACCTGTGCTTTAAGATACGGGACTACTATGTTCTGACTGTCAATTACAGCTGCGTCACTTGATGGGTCAGGATTAATACAGCCCCATGTTTACACACTGTTGTTCATGTGTAGCTGATGTTTGACAGAGAATTATTGCTATATTGGTCCCTGGATAGGAAGGGATGAAAAATTCAGGCACCATATAAACACTGAAGGCAAATCTGCCAGAGACAAATCCCTTCTACAGGAGTGGCAGAGGTTTGCCATTTGTGCTACAGTCTGCTTTGACTTTGTGTACACATGCACACTGGAGAAACACAGTGAGATTTCCCCATCATTCAGGTTAGTATCAACGGTAACTGGAGCATCCAAACGTTAAAAGCCAGGGCTCTTAATCATTATACCAGTAGAAGAAAGGTCTATTCAAACCTAGTGGCTCATTGGAGGGTTAAGGCTGCGCTAGTTTCTTAGCCAATGGCACACACGAGAGTGATGTGGCTAGCATCACATCTGGCTGCTGGAAAGACCAGGTACCAATTTGTAGCTGGGTCAGCTGGGAATGGCCTTTGACATGAATCCAGAGCAGGATTTAAACTCCCCACTCCAGAGCTATAGTGAGAAGCTTTAACAGTGTTGGTGCTATGCCCCTTTACACCTGTGAGTCTCTACTTTAGTCTGCCTTCAGCTAGTATCCCAGCAACCTTCTGAAACAGGCTTCAGAAGCTCACTTGCAAACGGGGCTGGAGAATGCTTCGCTCTTCCTTCTCCGTGGATGCTGGAATGGGAGTAAGTGCATGTGGTTTTAACCACTGCTACGCCCTCCTTTTCCTTCTCTGTCCTTGCACAGGATCTGACAGGGAGCTTGTACAGAAAGGGAGCAACTAAATAATCCCACCAAACCTCACTGATGCCATAGCATTAACCTCAGCTGAGGTCAGAGAGTTTGACTGAGCCAGTTATGACAAAAATACAGATGCCTTTTCTTAATAATTTATCAAATACTTCTTTGCATTCTTATTGGAGAGCAACTTACAAGTTTCCCTGGAATTTGAAAGGTAACATTGCCAACTGTCATGTGGTACGTGAGTCCTGTGAACTGAAGTTGCATCAGGCTTTGAAAATTCCATCTGAGAAAAGATATTTTAGAAAACCATGATGGAACTGGAAAAGATGGCAAGAAGGGAAAGGAAGAAGCTATTTTAATATAAATACACCAAATGTATCCACAGCCTCTAAAACAGAGGTTCCCAAACTTTTTCTTATAGCATACCCCCTTCTAGGTTTACCAGCTGCCCACGTACCCCTACCAACATACGTTTTATATTATAACCCCTTAACTGCCAATTATTACTATAATGAAAACTAAATCCGCCATGACACAATTTCTCCAGTGTACGTCCCCAGAGATGTCTTGCGTACTCCCAGGGGTACACATACCACAGTTTGGGAACCCCAGCTCTAAAACAAACAGGTTATCATGAGTTTCATGAACACGCTATCATAGAATTCATCTTGCTGATGGATTAACATGTCTAAACAAATTACTTGGGTATAAAAATTGGGTATGCAAACCTGGAGGGTCCCCCTTTATCCTGCCACCAAAAAGCTCAAAAAAACTAGTACAGTCCCTCCTTTGGGAGGCTTTTTGCCTATATTGTACTTAATTAAAGCATATTTAGTTTGGGGCCACATTTGATTAAATGGTTTAAGTTTTGTTTAAAAAACAAGCTAGTAAACAAACTATAAAAACACTAGAAAGGGCTTCATTTTAGAATACCACAATATCTCTCTCTTTCTCTCTCTCTCTCTTTAGTTTTTAAGCATTCTGCTCAGGTATCTGCTCCAGACTCTAGAGTTGCACTTGTGTGGGAGAGCCTGAAAATGATGTTGGCTATATCAGCACAACAGTGCAATTGAGAAGTCTGCATTCGTTGTGCAAGCTGAAAAAAATGCAAAAAGTAAGCAAGCAGCATAAATAACTAAAAGGAAATTGGAATTTTTTTTAGTATTTTCTGTTCAAATAATATATATGATGTATACACTAAATACATTTGTTTTGAAATGAGATTTAAGTTGACAGTTCAAATATTATTTTAGCAAAGTAACTGCCATGTACTGTTGGTATTTGTTGTACAATGACAATGGTAAAATGCAGTATTAAATAAGGCTTCCTAATATTTCACTTATAATTGAGCTCTATAGGGAAAATAATGTAGTTCTGAACTTTAATCAGACAGGTTTTATGCTCATCTTTGAATTATTTTTCTAAAAACAAATTAAAGACAGTACCAAGCTTTTAAATAGTGCTTTTTAACCACAGATACCAGAAAGTTAGCTATTATTAACCTCCCTTAGAGACAAGGGAGCTGAGGCACACAGCAATGATTGGTTCATCTAGCCTCATCCAACAGGACAGTAAAAGAGCTGTTACTGGGAATGGAGCCCAGGCCTTCTGAGCTGTCATACTGAGCTGTGTTCAGATTGCCTATTGTTTACAGAAGTTATAAGTATGTGACATCTATGAGTCTGCACCCGTCTTACCTGTCCACAGGTTTTCTAAGCTTATCACAAAACCACCACTCAGGAAAAATGTTATGAAAAGCGAATTGCCTAAGAAGGCCGAGAGCTGTAAGGTTGGCAGCAGAGCTGACACCCAAAGCGCCATTCCTCGAGCACAATAAACCACCAGCCAGACTGACAAGAGGTTCAGAAGGAAATGTTCTGGCACAGGACTGAGATTTGCCAACCAGTAGATGGGAACCCCATAGATTATTACAAAAACGCAATGTTCTGGAAGTTCACCCAAAATCTGGGGACAGAAGAAGAAAAAATGAAAATCACAGAACTTTCTTATTTCAGATCAACCATTCTGCAGGAAATAATCAATGAAAATGTAATCATCATCCCCTTTTTAGATGTTCTCAATCACATGCTAAAAATAAAATGAGGCTTCTGCTTAATTTCTTTTTCCATTGCTGGTTGTGACATTTTCTGTAATGAAGCTAATAAGGATAGTCTTCTTGTTAAGGATTACACTTTTTGCTATGTTTAGTTTGTCAGCATCCATAAAAACTCATATAACCTTTATAGCAAAATGTCCCTATTGAGTCTCTACAAATGCAGTTTTGTCCAAATTCTAAAGCAAACACTTCAAAGCACAAACTAGTACCTTTCCTCTTTTCTGCTATTGGGCCAGCCTATTGCACAATCTAATTAATTCAGTTTTAACAAAAAAAATATAGAATGCACATCAACTTAAAAATATGTATGTAATATTGTAATAATTGAATCCATAGGAACAAAGAATGTACTTGAAGTGTTAGGTGACTTACTACTATACCTCTACTGCTGTGTTCATAACAAATTACATTGTTTTTTCTGTGAAAACTATGCTATCTATGTGACATGATTTGAAGCATGATTTTTCAGGCAGCTAACGAGGGTTTTATATCTTGTGTGGAAATGGAAACCTAAATTATAGATGCCATAGTGGCTGAAACTCATCAAAAAGAGGCAGCATTACAAAGAAGGGGTTATTCTCAGCTCTGGCAGTAACAACATATATTTTAAAAAGATTCTTTGATTTTTTTTTTTTTTCCAGGAACAGTGGTGCTTCCTACACTTAATATATTTGTTTCCCTAGAGCAATCCTGAATTGAGCCCTTGAAGGTGAAAGTAGCAGCTAACATATTCTACCTCAATATTTTGCTACTTATTTCTGAGGCAAAGTGAAGACGAGGTCAGCAATACCATACACATACAAACAACCCCCTATTATTGCTATTTTATCATATATTGGCAGTATTTTTTAAAGATCTTTTGTATTACATGTTGCATCACTAAACTCTCAACAGCACTCTAACTACACAGTAAGCAGAAGAAAAGTTATGTGAAAAGGTCTTGCATATCATATTTGATTTTCAGAATTCCCAAATTTGGCAATGAGTTGTACCAATAACAGCATTAGGGGATTGAGAATTTAGAAAGGATTTTTGGCCTTTTGAGGGGTTTTTTTAAAACACTTCATGGGCTAAAATTATTGATGCAAACAAATAACAAAAGACCTCACACGTCCAACTACCTGATCTGTGTGCACAGACATTTACAACTGGAAATCAGTAACTGCCAATTATGCTCAGAAGTGACGTTTGCCACAAAAGTGGGGCAGAAATAACTGCGGGCAGAACTTTGGTACTTTGCAAAAATCTATCCTTTACACAGCACATGTTAAAGATGCTTTGTAAAAACATAAAAAGGCAAGGGTTTTGTGTGATATCTTATTGAACAAGCTGTATGATTGGGAGAGATGTTGAGGCATCAAGGAAGGCTAATTGTTGCCCAAAAGCTTCTCCAATATTTCTGCCAACTGTATAGTTGGGACATCACATAAAAGCTGTACTTCTCATACATTACCTGGACAATCAGAGCTATCCAGACTCCAGCCCGCTTTGTAAAAGCAGCAATCTACACTGATTTTTAAATCATACATTTAAGACACTGAAAAGGGCCTTCCTCTTCACCATCACAATCCAAGCTAAACTACGGTGACAGGGACCATGCTTTCGCTTAGAAAGACATATTGACCATTTAGAACAAATGACTTCATTATTGCCTACATGATCATGCTGACTTTTCTCTAACCGGTCAACACAGAGGGCAATGAGAAGCAACTGGCCAAGATTAATCTCTGCCATTTTTCTAATTTTGGCACTGGTTTGTGCATAGTGGAAGATTACAAAGGTCTTGTACCTTGCATAAGACAAGGGTTTCTTTTCTTTAGTGACGAAGGCTGGAAGGCCCTCTAGGCTGCTACGCCATTTCAAAGATATCAGAGTAACTTTCTTGCAGTGATTTAAAGCTTTTCCATGTCTTCACCTGCTGCTGTGGAACTGACCAGGTGTCTTTGCCACAGCCATATTTGTAAAGGTTCCTACAGTGCCTTTGATGATTTTCTTGCCTGGGGTTAGGCTCATAGTTTATGGAGCTAGGTGCCTCAAGTGTGTTATGAGGCTTACTTAATTAGTTAATGAACGTTTGGGAACCAGGATGACAACTGCATCTGACAGTCATCAGAGAAGTGCAAAGTACAATCAGAATTTCATCACCCACACAACAAGTCTTTGACTTTTCATCTTAAAACCTAATATGCACTTTTTTGACAGCTGAAAGTAGTTACCTTAGCAAAGAAATATGGACTGACAGAGTATATTCCATCTTCTAAATCATGATAAAGCATAGCTTTTTCTGAATGACCTACAGGATAAAACACAAATGAGTTTATTTCATGCTAGGTCTGCCCTTAGCTAATACTTTTTTCACTATTGAGAATTATTTTCTTGTTTTGATTGTTTTAAAACATTAGCAACAAAATTGACACTTACATTTTGCAATAACATCAAAAATCACTGCAAAAGGAGTTATTGCACCCATCATGTACAAGAGAGCTGTTGTGTCCTGAATAGAAAGATTGTTTTTCTCGTGACCATAGAACAAGAATCCAATTAATAATGACATGAGAAGGGCCTCACACCCATGGATTAACAATGTTGAAATATCTCTGAAATCATTGGAGACTTGACGACTGTGAAAACAACAATGCTAATTGTAAGTTATAATATTCACTAAAGCCAGCTACTCTCTACTTAGTTTGACCTGAATTCTGTTCTCATTTACATGCATTTACTCCCTTTAAATGGGAACAAAATTTGACTATTTAGAAAATCACATAGAATACAAATAGAAAATATTGTAACAAATGGGCATCCACCCACTTGCTTCATGGTTACAATTATTCTAAGATAGTATGGCTGCAGGGAACCTCTTAGTAGAAACGGGGATGGAAATTAGATCCTCAGCTCTAAATGTATTGATTCAATCACTTGAGATAAGGGGAAACTCTGCTAAAGAAATGTCTATGCCTTGTGCTTCTAATATCACTGACTATACTGTAGTAGTACTCTATACATATTAAGCTATTTAAATCTTGATTTTTTTAGTAGTTGTGTAAATGTCAGTAGTAGTCAGAATCTATCGTTATAAAAATAATCAGTATCAATATCAATAAACTATTGCATTAAAACAGTGGTGTTCAACTTTTTGGTCCCATGGGCTGGATCAGTGGCCAGATGAGTGGTATGGGCTGAATCCAGCACATGGGGTTGGTCCATGGCTGGATCCAGCATAGTGTTGGTCTTCAGATGCAGGCTGGAACACCAGCCTGGCCCCATGTTATCAGATCCAGCCTTATACCCGCTGATTTCTGAGCGTATGGATCCACGGGGCTCCTCACAAGTCTAGAAATGTGATGGCAGGAAAGCAGTATTTAACACTGTTACAGGGGATATCCATGGGCCAGATGACATGGTTCCATGGGTGAGAAGTTGAGTGCTACTGTGCTAAAATAATCAAATGTCTTACAATACAATTTGAGACATTGGAGTCGCAATTAATTTATTTGAGCTCCTTAATGTGGGGAGCACTACACAATCAACCAGAGCAAGGATGCTCAACCAAAAGCCCACAGGCCGGTGTTATCTGGCCTGTGGGGCTCCCAGAGGGGCCAGGAATTTGGGGTCCAGGCAAGTCAGAGTTGGGTCCACCACTGAAACCTGGCATGCCAAGCCCTGTTGGGAATACAAGTTGGCAGTGGGGGCAAATAAAAGGCTGTGTTAACCCCTTTGGTCACTGCCACTTGGCCTCCCTCCACTGCTGTATCCATATCTGGCCTGCAAGAAGCCCCACAATCTAGATCTGGCCTTGAGGACTGAGTAAGTTTGACAACCTGGGCTAGAGGAACAGTGTATGTGCCTTATTCTGAAGAATAAAACAGGTAGGACACAGAACAAGGTAGTATAGTGGTCCCCAGCCTTCACATGGCCATGGGCAACAATACTGAACAAGTAACATGTTTTGGACAACATCCCTGTAACTCTCAGTTTTAATTTTTTAATTTTCTCTGGCCATGAGTAGTGCTGGAAGGGGTCTTGGGCAACGTATTGCCAAAAGCTCTGGGTTTGGGGACCACCAAATCTTAAGATTACAACTAGTATAGCAACTCGCATATTCTAATGGGGATAAATGTTTAGTACCGGCTTTCTCCAGACACTTGGCATGTGCACATTTTGCCCTTTATGCTGCCTTTTTTTTTAACTATTCAGCTGCATTTCATTTTTAAGTATTTATGGAAGACATCAATTTATGTTGATGGTGAGATTACCTCAGTAATACAGTGAACAGCTTGATGTTCCCTGGTAACTGGTTAGTTGAATGGGAATGCATGTTAATCAGCTCCTCTGACTGGAAATGGGAACTGTCGAAGAGCAATGAAAAAGTAAATGGAACTAGCTAACTCAATCTTCAGCAATTAATATGCTGGATAAGAAACAAGTTATTTAAATGCATATATAATTATTTTACCATTGTTCACTGGAAGCAGTAGTTGTAATTTCTCTTTCATTTGATTTCCATAAGAAGTCATCAGAATCTTTGACCTTTTCCTGGAACAAGGCAGCAAACATCCTTGCCCTTTTCTGACTTTCCATCTCTTTTTCTTTGGTCTGCCTATCAATGCTGGTCAAATCAACTACAAAACATTATTTGACATTAATCTACATACCTAGAGAAATTTTAACTGAATCATACTTTGTACATATAGCCATATGTTTCTTCATAAAAAGAATGTACCGAGATATAACACATCTATTCAGGAAGCCTCAGCAACTTTTACTATTTTATACCATAGTAACATTATCTAGTTATTGAAATAAACACTGATAAGCTTTTAAATCTGGCCAAGGCAATATTCTAGTTTATCATAGTACAAATGGGCTTTACTTTCACTTTTATATGTGAATTCTAGTGGCTAGAGGCAGGGTTTATAAATAAAAGTTCTGGATTCTTTTTCTGGTTAAGTTTACAATTTATTGTGTGAACTTGGCTAAATTTCAGAGTTCACAATCCCTCTATGCTTTTGTTTCTCCATCAGTAAAAACACGGGTGGATCTAGGATTTTGAAAAGCAGGGTGCCCATGGTAAGGTGCATCATTATATATAACACAACATATTTTTCTCCAGGTAAAAAGAAACTAGAAGCTTTACTAACATGCTAAGGTCCTAGGGCGGTATTATTCAGTTTAAGATTGATGTAAAAACAAGTTAACTTTATTGGAATAAGAAAAAAAACAGTCTGCATGGGCTGTGAAATAGGAGCTACATTACCAGGAGCAGCTAACAGCAGAATTGCAGAAGGAAGGATAACTTGGTTTGTGGAACATGAAGACCATTAAGAAGGAGAGAGGTTATTAACACCTGTAGAATGAAGAACTTAGAAGGAATCAGGTAGATTTTAATGAAACATGAAATCAATTGACTCCCTCAGTGCTGCCTGACTAGCATGGGTGACCGGTGCCACCTTAGTTGGGGGGGCATGTGCCCCCCCCCCAGCGACCAGTCAACACCCGGGGGGGGGGGTCCCCTGGTGCAAATCTCACCGGCTGGGGGGCGTGTCCCACCACAGCCAATCTTGCTGACTGGGAAGCAGCCACGGCACTCCCAGAAGTGGCTGTAGCACTTCATCCGGCATTCCCATTCCCCGGCCAGTGCTCACAGGGGGTACACTGGTGCTCCCGTTTGCCTCCCCCCTGCACATCGCCTAAGCAGGGAGTGTGGCCTGTCAGGGGGTGCACCAGCACTCTCAGGGGGTGCACCTGCACTCTTGTGCACGCTCTACATGTCACCACTGCTGACTAGAAATGCTTTGCCCCTGCCAAGCAGTTGGTTTTAGAGTTTGGGTGGAACAAGAATTACAGAAGGATGCATCAGTGTAACCACCCCGCCCCCCCCAGTAAAAAGTGATAATGATAAGCAAAAGAAATTATAGCAGTAATTGATAATACATGCTTTCATCCCAGGGGGAGGAAGAGGACTATATGTAAGTGGAAAGTAGTGAAGGTATGATTTTAATTGGCAATCTATTCTAAGCTTTTCAATGTTAAAAAATGTATGTCAAGTTAAAAGAGAATGATTCTTAAGTTCCACATTATGACTTAAAAAACTAACCTTTGTAATGATGTGTAGAATATACTCAACATTTTAGGAAAAAAAAGTTTATGGGAAAATAACAACTATGGGTCATGCACAAATTTACTGCACCAACTCTCACTACCTCCTTCATGCCAGAGCCCAGCCCTGTATTCCCTCCAATTCCCTCAGCTGCTAGGTGTCAGTGTGTGTTTTTTGTGTCCTCTCTCCTCCTCCATTTCCAACCATTGTCAACCATTTTCTCCCCTGATATGGGATCTCTTCCCCCCACCCACACCTAGGGAGCAAATGGAGGATCCTATCGGGGTTCTGCGTATCCCTGCAATTCTACCTTTGCTGTACCAGAGGCTCTGTATGCCTCCCATTCCCAGTGTCCCCACACAGGTAGGGGCTCTGTGCAAACTCCTTATATCTCCTTTTTTCTCGTGGACTCCCCCCACCCCCAAGTTCTTATTTTTCTGTCTGGGAAATAAATTGTTCAGGGTGACGGTGGTTGGAGTAGGGAGAGTACTGTTACACTAGAACATGTCCCTTCCAACCCTACATCTATGAATCTATGAATGTGTATGGCTGTCATCAATTGGTTCTTTGATCCATACTCAATTATAAAAGCAGCTAGAAGTGATGATCCTGCTAATTAGGGGGCATGGACTCTGCATGTACCCTATTTTTCTCTTCCAGGTCTCTGATTTCCACCAATATCAATAGGATTCTGCTTATTGACAATGATAGTATGCCTTGAAAATTTGGAACTAATGAGATGAATGATTGAAAAGTAACTGAATTATGTCCTAACACAAATGCCATTAAACTGAAGATAGGGTTCCACAAGTCTTCACAGAAGGG